TCCGCCGACCAACCCGCCGCCCAGCAAGGGCAGTTTGAAGGCGGCTGCGCCGGTGAAGGTGGCGCGGCCTGGCAGGGGCCGCGGCCGGCCCACTCCCAGCTACCCGTCCCGCGAGGTGCTCAGTACCACCGACTCGTCCGATTCTGAGGCAGCGCCGTCGGCGGGCCGCCGCCAGCAGTGACGACGACCGGCTGGCGGCGTTCGCGCGGGACTTGTCCGACTCCTGGTACTCGGACTTGCCGCCCAAACTGGACGCCGGCGGCGTGAGCACCAGCAACGCCAATAAAAAGTCCACCTTCATCCGGCTCTTCTCGCACCGTGTCAAAAGGACTACGCCGCGCGGCCGGCCGGCCAACTCGAATGAGCGCAGCGAAGGGCACACGTCCCCGACGGCGGCACTGGCGCCTCCCGCCGCGCCGCTGCCGGCGTTGCTGGCAACGCCGATCCAGGCCCATCGATTTCTACTGTTTTGTTGCCTACGTGCCGCTGCCGCCGCTCAGCCAGCACAATGGCGTGCCGGTGTTGCGCTGTCGGATCGAAAAGCGGCTCGTGCAGCGGACGGACGGGTGCGGCCCGCGCGATGAGCCGCCGCCGCACACCGAGCTGCGCCGCGCGGACGTGAAGGTGGAGCTGGCAGCGGCCTGCTCAGTCCCCTCAACGGCGTCGACCGGCTCTCCGGCGATTTGCGGTCAGAAACGCCGCCGCTTCTGGGACCAAGGTGTCAGAGCGCGGCGCTGCCCGTGAGACGTTAAGTTAGCACAGGCAATGTCGTCTGCACTCCTTGCAGTTCATGTTGAATACACAACCATGTTGCGAAGTAATAGGCGCCGGGTTTTTCAGTTCATAGAACTTTTTCCCTGGCTATTACACCCCACAACCGAACACTGACACCTTGCACAAGTATGACTGTGTGTATGAATGTTAATAAATACATGAACCAATGTTGTGTTTTCGGTTCCAGTACCTTCTTTGGGCACCTCGGCAACAAGTAAGTAATCCGTTAGCTTTGCCACACCTAAGATAGGCTCCCACGTTGTTATTTGCTCCCGGGTTAACATAAACCGGTTTAACGTAACTTTTGCATCCCGGCCAAAATTGCCGGTTAACTGTCCCACCGCTCGAGACTGGCGCTAGGCTGGCCGAGCAAAAAAAAAGTTTGTCCGCGGCTTCGTCTTATTCGCAGCTGCTGGACACGGGGGAGGGGGGAGGAGGGGCTGCATCGGACGAAAAGCGGGCTCTGGTATTAACTGGATTTTTTGCCAGCTGGCGCCGTATGGTGGCGCTAGCAGAGCTTCTTACATATCAATGCTAGATATAAAAGAATGAATATTTACCAATCAATTTTTCATTTAAAGCCATTTGAAATATTTATGTCCATCCTACCAGGGGGGTTCGCTCCCGTGCCTTCAGCATTACGAAAAATGGCAACAGCCCGTGAGCAGCATCAGCGCTTACGCACATGTTCAAGGAAAACAACGTGTAATTAGCTGCTGACGACGGCCCTCTCCACCAATCAGCTCTCGTTAACTCGAGCGCTGATTGGCTGGTAGCAAACGCGTCATATGTGGGTCTCATTTTCTGCTATCAGTGAACGCGTTATTTAATACACAGTGGCCTATGGAGAATGGCACGCGGAATTGAAGGTCAGTGTTTTATTGCTTCGTACATGCGAATGGGGGTATTTAAGTGGCATTTGACGCCATTTTCGAAATCTACAGTGAATTTCTGATCGACTCATGTATATATTTATATGAATTTGACAGTATTAGTGCTACATAGTCGGTGTTTTATGTTGGTGTTGTTTCTCTCGACCTTTGTCTTGGACTTTAATCATATCTTTTCTCGAAAGTGCTTGCCATAACCAGGTCTAAACTGTATCTGTATAAAGGGAATATGTGTTGAATATGAGGGGAAAGTAGTAATGACCATTCTGCCTATCAAACTGCCAAAAGGTGTGCTTGTAAGGTGATTGAAACTGCAGTACGGGTTGCAGATGTGGGTTTGACATTAGCATTGTTGTTGTAACCCCACTTGCTCCAATAAAATGGCAACATGGGGTTATGTACACACTATTGCACAGCCTGGTATCAAGCTGGTTGATATGTGGAGGATAATGAAAGCATAAAAGAATAGGAGCGTTGCGTCTTGTGACTTATGTCAAGTCATTTTAAATCAAATGATTGTGATTGTAACTTTTACTTCAATTATTATTGCAAGTTTTGACCTTTTTTTAATCATCAAATTTTATGTGTACCAATTTCATATGCCTGTGTAATGTCTGTGTGGCTTTGTGCAGTGTGCGTGTCTTGAAACAAACCAATTTATTTTGTACCTTTTTGTACTTCAACAAATGTATGTCAAAGGACAAAAATGTCGTGTCTATTATCATTGACACTACTACAGCTAACCCTGCCTGTATTCCTATCTTTCAGAGGCATTCAATTCAATCTGCTTTCCAGTGCACTGTGCAGTACCAAGGAGGCTGCAACTGAAACTCGCACAAAGGCAATCAAGTGTCACTTCATCAGCCTACAGTAACAGCCCATCTGTAATCAAGATATGGATGAAGGGGCATCAAGAACAACCAGTTCAAACATGAAAAGATTGTATTTTGTTTTGGATTATTTCTTAGCATAACAGAACAGTACACTTGCTGCTTTTTATGTTTGCCCTGTGTGCAGTTTTGAATAATTTTAACCATGAGATGCTTTTGTCAACTATTCTCTTTACATAAGATTCCTTTGTCATGCATGTGCCATGTGTAATTTTGAGTTTACATGCATGATGTAGGCACATTTCCCTTGGCTTCATAGAAGTTAAAACTACTTGCAAGCTTTGGTTATGGACATTGGTGCTATATATGATGCTTCAAATGTGTCCAGTAGTTGATGAAGGGAGAAGAGGAGTAGGACAGCTGATAGCTATTACCAAAAGTATGTGCTTGTCTGCACTTCGGGCTGTTTTACTTCCTTGAGTTAAAAAACCCTCATCTTTTGTTTCTTTCCTGTGTGCACACAGGAAAGAAAACAACAATGGCCTCTGTAGATATTTGGCCTCAACAATGGGCATGCCCATTGTTTCCATGGTGCTATACATAAACGTCAAGTTTGAAGTTGGTATCCAAGTGAGCAAAATGTGTATTATTTCAGTCCGTCTTGAATCATTCGTCTTGAATTATATCCCTAACTGACATCCTGTTATTTGTCCTGCAATGTCTGTGCCTGTGTCCGCCCTTACCTCCGGCTCCAGCCTCCAACCAGCCCTGCTGAGCTCTGTCGCCGGCGCGGTGTGTCGCAACGTGCTGTTTCTCCACTCCAGCCGACAGCTGCTAGGAATCGTCCTGTGCCATGCGCCATGCGACACAGCAATTGTAAGCTGCAGGTCACATTCGGACTGATTGGCTCCGCGTATGTGCATCCGGCCGGGAGCTAGTCGATATCAGGGACGTGGGTCGGACTGTTGTGGCGGCGTGCACTGTGCTGGTTGAAGTTGTATTTCTGTTCGTGAAAAGCATTAATACATAACCGTGGCCGCAGCCCAATGTTATTTATTGTGGATTTCAGAGGGAGTGGCCAGTCAGGAGGGCCCCATGTGGGTATGGATCCAGTGTCCAGTGGGATTGGCTAAGATTGATTGATAAACGCTTCTATGATAGACGATAGTAAACCTATTGAGTTATGGGGGGAGGTCACGTGACGGACCTGACCTTACTAAACTCTTGTGAAAACACGACACATACGAACGGTAAGAAACCGACAACTCTTCTTTCTGCCAAGTGTCATCTTTCTGTGAAGGATTTCTTGGCACTGAGTGTTCAGAAATTGCGTTGTTTTTGGACTGTGCAGAGGCTCACGAGCGACAACATAGGTCAACAACCTGACCTACCTTAAATATGCGACTTGTACCATAAGATCCAGCTTGATCAAAAGATAGGACGTGTCAAATTTCATCTCTTTATCTCAAAAGAATTTTGAGCTATCGTAAAAACCGCCAGTGTGGCACCATGTCGCCTCCGCGCGCGGTTGGAAGGTAAAAGTTCGCCGGCTCTAACTAAACAAATAGTCGTCGTATCGCAAATTCATTGACGGCGTTCGAAGCGTCGTTCAATTTACTTTCGAAACATATCCTAACATTACCATTTAACTGCCTAGCGCAATCACCAACAAGCAAAAGTTCCGCGCATCCCTCCTCATGCATTGTTAGCGGCGGCCGGCCGCCCGCCGCTGACCCACATTCGCGTCATCAGGGAATGCCGCAACTAATTTATTGTTTCCAACTTTTTTCCCGGAGCGTTCTACCTGGTTTATATAGCCTTGCATCCTACTACCGCGCTTAGGTATATCTAAAATTAAATACCTTTCGTGCGTCGCCAGTTGGCCAGCCAGCTGACGCAATCCAGCTTTTACCAAAGCCCCGAAAAGCGATGACGTGAGCCCTAATATTGGCTTCACCACACAATTTGAGCCCTCAAACTGGAATCAGGTGAGCTCGAAAATGGGGATCAGGCTGAAAACTGGTATCATAGTGAGACTAGTTTTAGAGCTTGACACCGATAATGGGTACTGACTGAGCTCTGTTTCTGCGATCAATGATACCGATTTAAGGGATCGTATGAGCCCATGTGGCGCTAGCTCAGAAAGTATTCTCGAAATGTGCTGTCTGTTTTGAATATGGTACATTAGCCCGAAAACTGGTCTCTGAGCCCGAAAATCGGGACACTGTTTTCTCAGTGAGTCAGCTGGAGGTACCCCCTCGAAATTTCGCACGTGCAAGGCTCACCCTCTCGCTCGCTCCGTTAGTCGCCCCAAAAGGCGTTATACTGGTAAGTAATAGGTTTGCATACCTATATATTTGCATACCTACCCAGACGTGTAACATAGTTCATGCTGAGACTTAGCTGGATACTTTTGACGCTCCAGGCTACTCGATAGTCGATACTATTGCAGATTTATTGTGGGTTACTAACCGGTACACTAGTAGATGTATCGGGATGTGCATACCTGATACTCTGGTAGGTGCACCGTAGCTGAAGCGTCGTAGAAGTGCAGCGACCGGTCGGAGGTGGAGAAGACAAAGTGCATCGAGTTGGCCATGTGAGCGGCGTCAGTCACACGGACACACGGACTCGAACCTGCGGCGCCGGTTGAGAGGGTGAAGGGGTGTCAGGCCGACAGGGTCTAGAGCAGCACGCGGGTCGGCTCGCACGCACACTGCAACCTGATCTGGTCTGGTCTAACATAGTTTGACCTGACGTGGCATGACCTGTCCTGTTCTAACCTGAACAATATCAGATGATGCATGTAAACTATTGGTTGGTTTAATGGACCTTGCTACATCATGAAGATAAGTTACTGTTACGTACCATAAATATAACATTTTTAATAACCTTATTACAGAGCAATTATTCCAAGTACCCGAAAGGGGTACGGCGGAATGAAAGGGACGGTTGCTATCTTAGGGTATGAAAGGCACAACTAGTCTATTGATCTTGTGAAATGTTAGCGGGAGAAAGCAGGACCAGCCGTCGTCCCACTCCCAGGTGACTACAATACACATACAGTCATTGACCAGTTCCCCTCTGCCGCTATTGTATCTATTACTGAACATCTATGCGAGTACATCACCGTGCACCGTTCAGCGAGCTTACCGGCGGAGCGTGCGCCTGTGGCGCCGAGGGGCAGCTGGTAGCCGCGCTGGAACTCCAACTGGGCGTCATACATGGCCACTGCGCCGGTGACTGTGACCGAGAGGTAGGTGTGCACCGGCTCCGTTACCACCAGCAGACGTACCGTGGTCGCCCTCTGCGGACAGAGGGAGAGGTAGAGGGGAGTACGAGGGAGAGGGGAGGACGAGGATATTGCGCGAAACACTCGGAAATAAATTTTACCTTTAAAAAAAATTCTAGCGCTAGAGCTATTTGAATTCACAGCTTTTCAACAATCACGACACTGAAAAATTATTTTGCAAAAAGCAACGACAAAGAAACACAAAACACTCACCCTATTCTCCTTCAGAAGCCTGGTGACCATGTCGTCTTTGAAGGGCGCCTCCAGCGGCTCCTTCTGGGGACACGTGTGCACCAGCAGATAGTCCAGCATGTCCAGCCAGCTGACGCGGCCTCTCCCGGAGACGTCCACCATGTCAAACAGGTCCGGCCGCGCCAGCGCCGGCAGGTGCGTCTGCACGTACTCGGTGAACTCGTGTCGGCCCACCGGCCGGTCGTACTGGCTGCTCAGAGTGCTGTCGGAGGGCGGAACCGGCACCGGGCTCCGCTTCTGGCCCCGCCCTGAGCATCGCCTCTGGCCCGGCCCTGAGCGATCTCCGCCCGACAAGCCACTCAGCAGACTCCGCGGCCAGCCTCGGCCAGCCGGGCCGGGCAGACCAGTCTGTCTTCTCTTCTTCTGAACTCCAATATCGAGCTCGGAGAAAGGTATACCGCTGATGAGCGAGGGAGTTCTCTGCTCCGCCGCAGTTCGCTGTCTGGAGGAATGTTCCTTCTGGCGGCTGCCTCTACCGCCGCCGTGAGCACGACGTCGGTTGGAGGACATTTCGAGGAGAGAGACACCGATCAGAGATCGTGGTGAATTCACTGGACGCTCTGATCGAGGTGATGCACTGGAGGACCGACTTGAGGGACGGCTTGTGGGACGACTTGTGGGACGGCTGGTGGGACGGCTGGACCGACTGGCGGGCCGGCTAGTGGGACGACTGGTGGGACGGCTAGCGGGACGACTGGTGGGACGGCTAGTGGAACGGCTAGCTGGGCGGCTTGTGGGACGACTAGTGGAACGGCTAGCTGGGCGGCTTGTGGGACGGCTAGTGGAACGGCTAGCTGGGCGGCTTGTGGGACGGCTGGTGGGACGACTGACGGGATGACTTGTGGGACGGCTAGTGGGACGACTTGTGGGGCGGCTGGTGGGACGGCTAGTAGGACGACTGGTGGGACGACTAGTGGGACGACTGGTGGGACGACTACTGGAACGGTTAGCTGGGTGGCTGGTGGGACGACTAGTGGGACGGCTAGTGGGACGACTTGTGGGACGACTTGTGGGACGGCTAGTGGGACGACTTGTGGGGCGGCTGGCGGGGCGGCTGCCGGGACGGCTGGTGGAACGGCTAGTGGGACGACTTGTGGGGCGGCTGACGGGACGGCTGGTGGGACGGCTGGTGGGACGGCTGGCGGGGCGGCTGGTGGGAAGGCTGGCGGGGCGGCTGACGCTAGCTCCAGGTCCGGTCGAGAGCAGGACCGTCCCGGACAGGTGGCGCGCTGGAGAGCTGTCGCCGCCGGACCCGCTCGCGCTGGCCGGTTGTGACCTCGGCGAGGTGCAGCGGGACACCGATATCTGAGTGGTGACCGCCGGTCGGACCGCTCCAGAGGGTACCGACCGCCCACGAGACGGCAGGTTCCCGACCCGAGCCGCGTCCGGAGCCGAGTCGCTGCCCTGGGAGGTCGACACCGATGGACCGCTGGAACTGTGAGAGAGAGAGAGAGAGAGAGAGAGAGAGAGAGAGAGAGAGAGAGAGAGAGAGAGAGAGAGAGAGAGAGAGAGAGAGAGAGAGAGAGAGAGAGAGAGAGAGAGAGAAAGAGAGAGAGAGAGAGAGAGAGAGAGCTTACTTGTTTACCTTCAAACAGCTTTCATCAAAGAAAGTGCGGTTGTAAAATTCAAGTTTTATCTCCAAATAGCGGATTATTGCCCGACGTGTTACCATTTACCAAGCTGTATTTACATTTTAGAGACTCTGTATCGAAAACAACTTATTTGCACTGGTAAAACTTCATACCCTAATCTTCAAAATTAGCGAGCAGACCATCCAGTGACGCCTAGTCGTTCAGTATAATAGCCAGTTATTGCCCTTGCCTACAATTCCGAGTAGGTATGCAAGCTGTGCTACGGAGTCCTAACCTATCGATGGTGCCTGGTCCGCCTGTAGCAAACAGTCGCCTCAGCAGCAGTAGCTGTCCAGCCGTCAGCGCTGGAGGTGCAGAACCGCCAGCACCGACTCCATCGTTCCTGTGGGGGGGGGAGACCAGCATCACAGACTGAGGAAATGTGAAATGAGCATTTCTAAAGCCGGCAACATTTCTCATCATTCGGTAGCTACAGACGGAAATAAGCTGGGTAGTTGCTGTCGGTGTTGTGGCTAATAAGAACTAAGGCGGACGGCGGATCCTTTCGTGGCGTTGAGTGCTGCAGCACAGCATCACCACAGGCGTGTACCACTAATGCCATCTAGTGGCGAAAGGATGAGCTAGACATCGAGCATTGCGGCACAGCATCACGCAGGCGTATATCGCTAATGCCATCTAGCGGCAAAAGGGTGAGCTATGCATCGAGCATTGCGGCACAGCAGCACTGCAGGCGTATATCACTAATGCCATCTAGCGGCGAAAGGGTGAGCTATATGCATCGAGCACTGCGGCACAGCATCGCTACAGGCGTGTACCAACACTGCCATCTAGTGGCGAAAGAGTGAGCTAGACATCGAGCACTGCGGCACAGCATCACTACAGGCGTATACCGCTAGTGCCATCTAGCGGCGAAAGAGTGAGCTAGATATCGAGCACTGCGGCACAGCATCACTATTCACTACAGAAGTATTCCGCTAATGCCACCTAATGGCAGGCATAAAAGCACACCGCATACGGTGTAGCTCCTTTTGCTATTGTATCTTTGTACCTACCTAACTCGGAAATAAATATATAGCTGTGACTTTCAATCCACGACCATTCGCTTTCCACCCTAGCTCTGACTAAAAACTTACCGGTTATCGGGTGTCAGTGAAGTCATAACCAAGGCACACGAGTGTTGTCCCTTTTAATCACAATACCGTGAGGTATCTATATATGACAAAGTACAAGGACGGCATCCGGATAAGTATCCACACAGAGGAGGCGCCACGCCAGCTCGCGGACGTCTGTAACTCGAATCCGCAGCCGACCGAGGGAGCCGCGCGGTTGCCGTTCCCCTCCCCTCCGCTCCGGGTTTGGTCGATGATTGGGGAGCCGTTAGCCCCGAGTTGCAGTCGAAATGGTGCTGGTTCTTGATGTAACCTCAGTCACCAGTCGGTACCTACAGCATCCTCTGAAACTTATAAGTCAGTAGGTACTCAGTCTAGTGTGTGGTTTGTGTCCAGTCAGTCTTTTCTTGAGATGAAGTGAAATATCACCTATTGACCCAGCCCTCTGACTGAAGGGGAGGCCAAACACCCTCTCCCTGTCTGCTTTCCACGGTATCTCCGAAAGTATGATGCCGATATCGCCACTACGCTTTGTGTGTTCCCTGCATCCCTTGTACATATCCTGCCCAAATTCATAAAATAGTTCAAAACGTTAACCCGCGCCCTGCTGGGGGGGGGGTGTTTGAACACCCCCCCTTGTGGTTTTTCGCGAATATCTCAAAAACGGCGGCGCGGAGCGCCGCCGTTTTTGGTACACCTTACCATACATCAATTCTACACATGTTGTGAAAATTTCAGACCAAGGTCATTCAAGGTCAGGTCACCAGGTCACTTGAAGTGACCTCACCTCATAAAAACTTTCAATGTCTGTCATAGCTACACCGAGTGACCGATCGCTTTGAAACTTTCAGCGATTGCTAAGAGCAATAGCATGTACAAAATGTATATCCCAGAATTTTGATATCGATGACCTAAGGTCAGGTCAATTTTGCGACCTCCCCATTATAAGTCAATGGGAGAAAATTGAAATGCGCCTCTTTTGGATGAAAGACATTATAAACACTCCCAAACACCGAATTACAAGTGGTTTAGACACACTGAACTTGAAAATGGTGTCCGTGACCCTTGTTTATGCCCTGAGGTCATCTTAGGTCACGAATGGTATCTAACAGTTTTTCGCAAATATCTTTTGATAGAGGCATGCTAGAGCGATGAAAACGCCTTAGATGTGTTCAGCTCGACGATACGGATCGACTGATATGCAACATGACCCTTTCCGGTCAGGTCATGACCTTGACCTGAGGTCAAATTTTCAAGTTGACCTTTCAAGGTCAAGTCATAGTTCATTCGATGCGTCTTGACGAGAGGAACACGATGCCGGTAAAAGTAAGCCCGTACAAGGCTTGGGTCAAAAGTTATTGCAGAAAAACTGTTTTCGAAAAAATCGGCTATTTTTGCAGTTTTTGCCCCCTGCAGGCAAAACCGTTGACGTTAGGTCAAATCTGAGAGAATTACTCAGAAAGGGCGTTAATAGGGCTATCGAATGCGCTTTTCCGCGGCGCTGTAGCTCTATTGGTTCCCGAGTTATGCGTTGGCTTCTTGGAAATTTTCGACATTCGACCTGGAAATCGGCGAAATTTTGCCTTCAATGACCTCTGGTGACCTGACCTTTGACCTGACCAAAAAATTGACCGAAGTGATTTCGTCATTATTTTTTACGCTCTTTCGAACGCCACCTTCTGCGTATCGCTACGTGGCCCAGGAGCCGAGTTACAAGGGGGGGGGGGGGTGTTCAAACACCCCCCCCCCCCAGCAGGGCGTGGAAATCCAGGACCCCCAGCAGGGCGCGGGTTAACCTTCGCCGGCCGAGAGGCCGCCCCCCCCCCCTATTGTTTTTCTTTTGCGATAGTTCGGATTAAAACACGACGGAGAGAGAAAACTGAAAGTTGGCATATCTGACCTGTGATTGAACCCGGATCTTTTGACAGTTGACACCACTTAAGCATTTTCAGGTCAGATCAGGTCACAGACCTATGACGTCACAAGCAAACCCACTGAGCAAACCCACTGAGCGTGTTCCGCCGCTACTGCAAGGAGGTATAGGTAATATACGAAATGAGAGATTGATGCCCTCACCTGGGACTTGGGAGTAGGTAGGTACGCGAATCTAGTGTGCAGTAACAAATCGGAGCCGGCCGCCCCTGTCATTCAAGCAGTTCCGCCACTGCCGATTGATAGTGATGAGTCCGGTCCGGCGAGTTACCGTCACCGGGATGGCGGAGCTCAGTCAAGCTCGGGCGGTCGTGGTGGTGGACGTGGAGTGGTATAGGTAGGCAATAGGCATAGGCAATAAGTTAGGTCTCTACTAGTATTACAAGACTGCACACGGCGGGAGCATTACAAAGACATGCCTGTCTGTAAGCGTATTAAGCGTGAGATGTTAAAACTTTAGCGGCGGGCTAGACAGACAACGAATTGCCGTCAACTGCAAGTGAGGAAATTAGAGGGAAAGTGTAGTAAAAACCCTTCATTTGGAGGCTGCTTCGAAGCATTTGTGGTGCTGTGGGGCTGTTCACCACATATCAGTGACTGGATTTTACGTTAATCAAAAATGGAAAATATCAACCTGGTGCGTGTTCCAAAAATTCAATCAGTTCGATCCAAACGGCCCCAAGTAAAAGAATTAATTTAAGGAGCGGGTTGTTATATTTTAAAGTTCCAAAACGAAGTCAAAAACCAAAACAGCGAATCAGACAATGGAGTGACGAAGAGACGAGAATGAAATCCAAGTTTGCCAAAAATGCCCTGCCTAATCTAAGTTATAAATCCCGGACAGAACGGGCCAAATCGCGGAGCCAGACGTGACGCG